GGAAAGAGCCATGAGTATAGCTGGCATTATCACAAATACAATGGAAGGTGTGTTATAACTGCAGATACATGAATTTTCTTGACATAGTCTTAGACTTGCTTGAAGGTATTACATCACAGTGCAAATACAGAAGACAGAAAGTATGTACCATTGCAACTACATAAACTGAACAATAGAGCAAAAGTGCATGTACATAGTGAAAAAAAAATGAAGTAATCTGATAAGCAGGATAAACTAAGAAGCACATTCTAATTAAAATAGATAACATGTACTTGTTTCATACTAGTTATTCATGTTTAGCAATACAGTTATTGGAAGAAATGCCTTGTGATAAATTTTCTACTAACTCTACGGTAAAAATGTTACAGAAAATTACAGGCCAGGCCTTAGTTAATAAGGAGGAGGAAATTTCTTGTAGGATTATTTGGAACAGTGAAATTATTACCTGTTCAGGGTGAAATGAATCTTATTTTTCCTTAAAATAAATAATTAAACAGTTGAGAGGACTGTGAAGTTGGAAGTTTTACTGAGACAACTATCCCTAAATGAAAGAATAAATAGTTGGTTTTTAAAAAACAAGATTGGATGATATTAAAAGTAGACAACTCTTTCAATTATTACCTCAAAACTCTTTACGTTTTTCTTCTAGTCTTCTAAAATATTTTCAGTCAGCAACAACAAGTTACATTCTGGGAAATCTGAGGAGGTTCCTCCAAACATCTTTAATGGTTCCAGGGATAAAGATTAAAATGTGAAAAAGCTGATAAGCCAAAATTTATCTTCACTTTCTCCAAAACTTGTTCACTATTTCTTTTTTTTTCCCAGAACTTGAAGAATCCAGACAAAAATGTCCACCTTGCTGGTATAAGTTTGCCCACACTTTCTTAATTTGGAATTGTTGTGAGCCCTGGTTAAAAGTAAAGAATGTAGTTGAATTTATTGTAATGGATCCGTTTGTTGATCTGGCTATCACTGTTTGCATAATTTTAAACACACTGTTTATGGCCATGGAACATTATCCAATGACTGACGATTTCAATAATGTGCTTAAAATAGGAAATCAGGTAAGTCCATCAAACTAGATCATTTGATACGATTGGAACCTGGTTTCTTTTTGAAACCTTTTATTATTTTTATTATCATCCCATAAAATTAATGTTAAAGGTTTGGTTGTACTAAAAATAGTCTAAAAATACCATTTGAGAGATGTTGTATGTAAGAGTTTGATTTTTATATTAAAATTTCTGCAAGTAGAATTTTCAACAACAATTTTCAACATGAATTACATGAAACCAAAAGAAATCTGACTTGGTTTTGTTTAGTGTTATAAAAATAGTAGGAGCCAAATTACATCCTTTCTACTGTAAGTATCATTGATAACACAAGAAGAGTTGGATGTTATCTTGGATTCTTATTTTGTAATGGGTTGGGGTTTTTTGTGTTATTTTTGTATTTCCATGAAGAATGTTGCTTTGATTGGTCCATAACACTTTGGAAATCGAAGAATGTGTGACTTATTCCGAGAGTGTCTGTTGGTACAGTTGGGTTTTTTCCCTGGTGGACACAGTCTGTAGGTTGGGTTTGGGGTGGTTGGTTGGTTTGTTTTACAATGGATAATACAGATAATTCTATCTGCTATGCTTATTGTGTGTGGTAATTCTGGTGATTGTGATGTAGCAAAATGATTAAGTTATTAGAATATATGAAATTCTAATACATGTTGGGAACGTATTCAGGTTTAATCCAGAGTTGTTAATGTGTCAACATTTAAATTGTATGCTGCCTATTTTTAGCCAATACAGACATAGTTCAATGTTTTCATCTTAACCTGGAGTCAGAGATCATTATCTGTGGATATGATAGATATACGTTATCTGTGGAAGATAGTCATGTCATGTTGCTGTTTAAAATAGATTCAGGATGTATTTGAGGAGAAAGGGAAGATGCATAGGTGAAGATCAAAAGCTGTTGCAGAGGATTGTCTTGTGATCGTACCTGCATGTTTTACCCAGGAAACACAACCTTTTTTTTTCTTTCATATGAAGTAGCTTAATATTAATCTAATTTTGTGCTGAGCGAGTATACGTGTTCCTTCATGCTGATAAGAATTTGTGTTTACACCCAGTCAGCTAAAATGCCACTGTAATACAGGTGTAGTTTCACCAGTTGATTTCTTGCTTTTTGAACTGTGTAGCACTATCTTTTAAAGACTGTCAAATGTTTCTGATTTTTTTAAAGTTCATCTTTCTAGTGAAAGATATTAATATATGCAGTTCAGTAAATACTGGTGGTCATACATCTACAGTAAATACAATTAATTTATTTCAGAGGTGTTGTTTGCCTTCTGCTTCAGGAGGCATCAGAGGCAGAAAGGCGTTTTCAAATATAAGTCTTGACATAATTGGCCTGGGTTTGGCAGCTCAAGAGAAAAGACGTGCTTACTGTATCTGTGAGTTCTCATGGAGGTTCATTAAATAGCACATCATTCTCCAGTTTCTGACCAATTCATGTTTTTCCACCACCTTTGTTATAGAAGCTTCCATTGTGGCAAGAGCAACTGTTACTCTCTTGCTGAGGAAAGTTCCTTTAATTAAATGAACAGCAGATATGAGGAGCAAACAGGAGCCCTGTTAGGAATAGTTTATTTTTCACTAGTCACTAAGTGTATCTCGGGTTTAACTAAAGTTAACAGAGTTATGCCACAGCTCATTACCTTCTCTGTCAGGTTCAGTTTATGATAATTTTCCTTACTGACATCCTGATGTAAGAGGGTTGTTATTTCTTACTTAACTTGTTCTTTATATGCTGGTTCAATTATTCATGGTCATCTACAAAGTAACAATAAATGTTCTTCCTTCAGGTTTTTACTGGAATTTTTGCAGCAGAAATGGTTCTCAAGATAATTGCCATGCATCCTTTTTATTATTTCCAAGTTGGCTGGAATATTTTTGATAGTTTTATAGTTATGCTTAGTTTGGTGGAGCTTTTTCTGACAAATGTGGATGGATTATCCGTTCTACGATCATTCAGATTGGTAAATAAATTAGTGATAATAATACATCTGCAATAATTAATGCATTATATTTGTATTTTAGCTGTATTTATGTAATTAAGACAAGTTTTAGTAATACTGTGTATATTTTTTGCTAAGTGTCACGGGATATCTCTGTAGGCATGTTTTACAAAATTATTTATGTTGTCACTGAATAGTGTGTGCCATTTTATGTTTCAGAAGCAACTAAGTATTTTTTAATTTTTTTTTGGGAAAGAGCTGTAGTTTTATTGAAATTGTTTAACATGGATGGGTAAAGCACAGTGAAGTGTACAATTCATTTACTGCATATTGAGAGATATAAATTAAAAAAACATTCGTGGTCTCTCTACTTCCATGTCTAGAAATAGCAAAAAGGCTAGAAGTGTTCTTTTAAAATGTAGGAATTACAAAATTTATATATTTTTTTGTTATTTAAATAAGATTAATTTTTCTTTTCCCCTTTGGCAAACAAAGAATGCTTTATTTTATTAGAAAATTATTTTTATTTTTAAAAAAGAGAAATTAACTATGAGACGTTCTTTCCCTGTGGTCTCTTTCCATTTTGCATTTCCATTTTGCTTTTATCTGAAAACAAAAAATATTTAATACCTTTTTTATTCTAGGTTGGTTATGGGTAAGAAAGAGTATAAATTACACTTTTTCCCCTTCATAAGTTGAAATGTTTGACTTACAGCTTGTGTTTGGCTTTGGCTTTCATTTCCCATGAGTCTGTCTGATCCTTTTCAAGTTTATTGGAGGCATTATTCTTTTGGAAGACCCCATTCTCAAGGATTTCAGAATCCTTTACCTTCAGTAGAATCCTATTGAGATTTATTGGGTTTTTAAAAAATTATTTCTGCACATAATGGTTGAGATGTATGCCATGTTCAGAATTCACTATGAACAAATTCAACCAGTGTGCTGTTTCTTTGATGTAGAAAACAATACAGATATGCATCACAGAAAAAAGAACAAAGTCTAAAATTCATTAAGCTTTAAAAGCGTGGATTTTATGAAACTCCTGGTTTTGTGTAAGTGATGGTTGTTGGAATCATTGTTCCACACATGTATCGTTCACAATCTGTTTATTTCTATAGCATTTTTGTAACTGCTGCAAATAACATCTCTGTATTTTTGTTTTTCAGTTGCGAGTTTTCAAATTGGCGAAATCATGGCCGACTCTAAATATGCTGATAAAAATTATTGGCAACTCAGTGGGAGCTCTGGGGAATCTGACCCTGGTGCTGGCTATCATTGTGTTCATTTTCGCTGTGGTTGGGATGCAGCTGTTTGGGAAAAGCTACAAGGAATGTGTCTGCAAGATCTCTAGCGACTGTGAACTTCCACGCTGGCACATGCATGACTTTTTTCACTCTTTCTTGATTGTGTTTCGAGTGCTGTGTGGAGAATGGATAGAAACAATGTGGGACTGCATGGAGGTTGCTGGCCAAGCCATGTGCCTTACTGTCTTCATGCTGGTCATGGTGATTGGAAACCTAGTGGTATGTAGCCAAAATAATTTGAGAATTCATTTAGAGAAAGAATTGCAACAGAACCAGTAATGAAGTTTTAAGCATTATTAAATAAGTTATTTAAATGTATGTTTTATTATTTTGAAGTTGTTATGAGTATGGGTTCTGAAACAGTTTTCTATTTGTTAGATTTCTGATCCTATATAGAATCCTCAGCTTAGAGGATGGGCCCTTTCAGGGGTCTGGAGTGCAATTCAGAGGATGTGGGTGAGAGAGAGAAGCACAGTGTGTTCAGGTTTTTGTGGATGACTACTGGTTACCTAGAGATAGAGAGAAGAGCAAAGGCACCCCAAATGTTATGCTCCCAGGATGGGAGTTTGCAGAAGAAGACATAGCAGGGCCTTTTCTCCCTAACTGATTGAGGCATCACTTCCAATCATACATAGCCAGGTGTTGGCTTTTTTACTTTTCTACTCTCTCCTGTCTAAAAGACTGCTTTAACATGCTTAGACTCTGAAATTTATGCTATTTTGATCCCCGCTTGCTTCATAGCCAACTTTTTACACAAATGGGGTAAGGAAACTTGAATTGGAAGGCAGCCGTTCTGCAGAAAAGAAATATTCAAATACTTCATGTTTTCTTTCACCTCTTCACTTTTTTGCTTCCTATTTAAGTGCTTTTTACAGACACTTTTAAAGCTGTCTGTATAATATCTTCTTCTTTTTCTCTTTTAAAGGAAAGCATCACATCTGTACCAGTTTGTACATTACAATGTATAGATTTGTCTTTTTAAATATGTTTTATATTTATAAACTCCTCAGTATTTGAGGCCTTAATTGCTCCTCCTTTTGCTCTGCTTTTCTCATTGCCTATTGAGTCTTCCTCTATTATTCTACATCTTTTCTTAACTGTCAATAGCAAAAAAGATTTTAAATTAGCCATCCTGGAGGCATTCTTTAGGAATAAAATTTCTAACAACAGGAATAATTATCTTTTAACCAGTCATGCATTACTACTAGTAGCATGGCCACTTGCTCCAGGATTTTCTTCAAATCTTATAATGAAGACAACTGTGAAATTGGTTGACCAAAGAAAACATCCTCCTTAAATGGTTTTCTAAACCAGAAGATAGAATTTTGTGGAATGAAGTAACCATCTCTGTGAATTTTTCCACAGTATTTACTCTATTCCAATTTTATACCGTAGCTCTAATAGGATTTCTTACATAGGTAGACAATCCCTGCTGTACGTTCAGGGATCTGTTACTCAGTTGTCTTTCTGTGTTGCAACACATAGTTTTACCCTGTTGTTTTTAAAGCTACGTAGAAGAGCTGATCTGAAGGCTTTAAGAGCTGGTACTCTGCTACTTTGGCTATCCTAGTAACGTCTGAGCTCCTAGTAAACTCTGGGCTTGTGTAACTGATCCTTATTCTATGGTTTGTCTTGCCATGGGAAGAGGAAAACTTAGGGATTAGGAGATGGGGTGTGCTTCCCATTTTTTAAGTTACACACAGCAAAATATATGTGTGAGTTTGGACCAGCATTTAAGAAAGCTGTTTTCTGCACAGCTATGTCTTCTGTTGCAGAGTGCTTCCCTGTGCCAGAGAAGTAAACATTTTGGATCTGTTTGGTCAGTACCAGAGAGTCATTTATTTCTGACCTTCTCAAACATGAGTAGAAAAAGAATTTACAAGTGTCTTCATAGTCATACAGCAGTGCAAAACCACAAAAAAACCCTGCGTTGGGGTATAGGGCAGGTGGTGTGCTTAAATAGCATTTACATTTTATTTACTGTGTAATTTCCAGACTCGTATACATCAAAGGAAAACATGAAGGCTAAGTTCATAATGGGTGATAGAATCAGCATGTGAATGGAAAATTAAGTGAGAAAATTCAACTGTGGTTGTTTTTTTATTGTTGTTTTTTTTTAGGTATTGAACCTTTTTCTAGCCTTGCTGCTGAGTTCATTTAGTTCAGACAGCCTTTCTCCTACAGAGGAAGATAATGAAATGAACAACTTACAGGTTGCTGTTGCAAGAATTCAGAAGGGAATAGATTATGTGAAGAACAAAGCAGGTGAATGTGTCCAAAAGTCTTGTTGGAGGAAACAAGCTGTTGTAAGTCAAAGAACACCAACAAATCAGTTGGATGATGAGGGAGACCGTTGCATTTCCAACTGTACCATTGCTGAAATAAGGATAGATACGAATTATCACAAAAGTGAGAATGGAATGGCCACTGTTATAGGTGGCAGTGATTATACGTCATTCATAAACAACCCAAACCTTACTGTTACAGTACCAATAGCTGTTGGAGAATCTGATTTTGAACATCTAAATACAGAAGAGTTTAGCAGTGACTCAGATTTGGAGGAAAGCAAGGAGGTAATATTTAAATATTTTATATTTTGTATGACTGAATTATACCAAATGTATTCTTTAATAGTATGGCTGGCTCTTTCTGCTTAGAAATAGAAAGCAGTTGTGATTTGAGATTGTTGGACTGTACTGAGCATGAATAAACTGAAGTGGGAAAGTGGAGCTATAGAGAGCGGGAGATCCAGGCAGAACTGTATAAACGTAGATGGACCTATTTATAAAAGGGTTTTGAAAAACAAGCTTTTCCACATTTTTAGTTGGATAGATGAACTAGTATATATGGCAGAATAAACAGTGACAAAAGAACTTTTTTTGATATATAATTGTAATATTTCAATGATGTAAGGATGAAAGTAAACTGCTATATAAAAAGATTACAGGAGATATTAATAAGTAATATTAATACCCTTTGCATCTGATTTTTAAGGCTCAATGAATTCTACAGAAATCATCATTATTTGTACTGGATAATCTAACAGGTGCTAATGACAGCAATAACAGGTTTTGAGTTCTGAAGTCAAAAAGATGGGGGAAAGCCAAGGGAACAATGTCAGTATTATAAAGTGAATATGTCAAGTAAAAAAGATGAGAAAAAATAGAATTCCTCAATGAAAAATTATTAATATCTTGCTTGTTTGTGAGAGTTTTGAACCAGTCATTTCAAAGCCAACTGTCAGCTTTAGGAAAGTAGTCATTTGTCAGG